CAGTCATCATACCTCCTGTCTCTAACTCTCCTCTTCCCATTTTTTCTTGAGCCCACTCCAACAAAGCTTTTCCCTAACACTTCACTAAAACCACTCTGGTCAAGGTTACCAATAATCTCCATGTACCATAATTCAGTGGTTAAGTCTCAGAATTTATCTTATACAACTTATATCAGCATATTTTTATACAGCTGAACATATCCTCCTCCTTTTTGTTTTCTTTTTTTTTATTGGTTATGAATATTCATGGGGTACAAAGTTAACTGTCAGCACTTGTGCCCAAGATGTGATGGCCAGATCAATACTGGCAGCATGCCCATTACCACAAATTGCAATTATACCCCGTGTCCTCCACTCAATTAATCCCTAACCTCACTCCCTCTCCCCCTTTCCCCCACCCCACATTGCAACCCTAGGTATGTTCTCTCCCTCTGCAAGTCCAACGCACCACTGTGATCTTTCTTTCCTTCCTTCTTTCTCTCTTAGCTCCCACTTATGAGTGAGGACATGTGGTATTTTTCCCTCTGTGCTTTGCTTATTTCACTCAACATAAGTTTCTCCAAGCTCAACTTATATTTGACAAAGGCAACAAAAACATACATTTGGAAAAAGACTGCCTCTTCAATAAGTGGTGCTGGGCAAATTGGATATCCATATGCAGAAGAATGAAACTAGACAAGCACCTCTCACCATATGTCAAAATCAACTCAAAATGGATTAAATACTTAAGTATACGACCTGAAACTATAAAACTACTAAGGGAAAATATAGGATAAACACTTCAGGTACTAGGTTTGGGCAAAGACTTTATGAACAAGAACCCAAAAGCATAAGCGACAAAAGAAAAAATAAACAAATGGGACTACATCAAACTAAAATGCTTCTGCACAGCCAAGGAAACAAACAACAGAGTAAAATGACAACCTACAGAGTGGGAGAAAATTTTTGCAAACTATACTTCTAACAAGGGATTAATATCCAGAATATACAAGGAACTCAAGCAATTACGCAGTAAAAAAACCCCAAATAACCCAATTAAAAATTAGGCAAAGGATCTGAATAGACATTTTTCAAAGGAAGACACACAGGCACATGAAAAAATGCTCAACATCACTAATCATCAGGGAAATGCAAACTAAAACCACATTGAGATATCACCTCACCCCAGTTGGACTGGCTATAATCAAAAAGACAGAGAAGGGCCGGCCCGGTGGCACACTGCTATAGTGCGTCGCTTGGGAAGTGCGGCGGTGCTCCCGCCGAGGGTTCGGATCCCACATACAGACCAGTTCCCGCTCACTGGCTGAGCGAGGCGTGGGAGCAACACCGAGGGCTGCGATCCCGTTGCCGGTCCCGGTCCGGTACGGGGGCGACACTGAGGGTTGCGATCCGTTGCCGGACACGGAAAAAGGGAAAAAAAAAAAAAAAAAAAAAAGACAGAGAATAACAAATGCTGATGAGGGTATAGAGAGAAGGGAACACTCCTACACTATTGGTGGGACCGTAAATTAGTACAACCACTATCAAAAACAGTATGGAGGTTTCTCAAACAACTACAGATAAATCCTACATACAGTCCAGTAATTCCACTTCTGGGTATATACCCAAAGGAATGGAAATAATCATGTCGAAGGGATACCTGCACTCCCATGTTCATCGCAGTTCTATTTGCAAAAGCCAAGACATGGAACCAACCTAAATGTCCATCAATAGATGATTGGATAAGGAAAATGTGGTATATATAGATAGTACTACTCTGCCATAAAAAAGAATGAAGTTCTGCCATTTGCAACCCTCCTCCTTTAAACACTTTCTTCACATGGCTTCCAAGACACCTGGCTTCCCCAACACCATGCTTTCCTGTTTTTCCTTCTATCTCACTAATTATGCTTTCTGTTGTCTTTGCCAGCCATTCCTCATTACTTTGATCTCTTAATGTTAATGTGGCCCAGGGCTTAGTCCTTGAACCTCCTCTCTTTTTCATCTATGCTCTCTCCCCAAGTAATCTCATGCAATTTTGGCTTTAATTATCATTTATTCACTGATGATTCCCTAATTTATATTCCTAGTTTAGAACACATCCTGAACTACCAGCACTAATATCTCTAATTCTTAGTTGGTATTTCCATTTGGATATATAACAGGCATCTTAACACATCGAAAAAACAAACTCTTGATCTTTACCCATATGGCCAACCTTGCAAATATTCTCCAATATCCAGTTCTCTTCTCCTTCAGTCCTTATAAATGATAACCGATGGTAAGGACATATGACTTGTCTGGCCAATTTAATGTGAGCAGAAGTGCCATGCATCACTGCCAGCCTTGGTAGCAAAAACTCATTTATGATTCTCAGATCTGTCTTTCTGCTGTGGCAACTGAAATGTTCTGTGTTCCATCCAGATGGTACACCTATAAGATGGTAGAGCCTCCAATCAAACAGTCTTCATCAGGGAAGGCAAAAGACCTTCCCACTGATCCACATGGACATGTACTATGAGCAAGACATAAATGTATATGTCTAGCTACTTAGATCTTGGAGTTCTTAGTGATCCCAGCACAGCCTAGCCTTCCTAGGCTAGTACTACCCTAACATGCTCTCACATAGTACTCTTCTACATATAAGCAACCACATCTTTTCAGCTGCTCAGCCAACAACCTTGGAGTCATTCTTGACCCCTCTTTTTCCTTAACACCCACATCCAATTAATCAGCATATCTTGTACCTTCAATATATATATAGAATCCAATCACCTTTACTGCCTCCACTACCATCTTGCCCTTCAAAAGACACTGGTAAGAAAATGAAAAGATAAACCACAGACTGGGAGAAAATATTTACAAAGCATATAAATGATGAGGGATGTATACCCCAAATATATAAAACTCTCAATGCTCATCATAAGTAAGCAAACCAGGGCCGACCCCATGGCGCACTCGGGAGAGTGCGGTGCTGGGAGCACAGTAGCGCTCCCGCTGCGGGTTCAGATCCTATATAGGGATGGCCGGTGCGCTCACTGACTGAGCGCGGTGCAGCCGGTCACAAAAAAGACAAAGAGAAAAAAAAAAAGTAAGCAAACCACCTGATTAAAAAAAAAAATGAGCAACAGATTTAATAGCCATATCACCAAAGATAACATGTTGATAGCAAATAAGCACATGAAAAGATACTCCACATTATTAATCACTGGAAAATGCAAATTAAATTAAAACCACAATGAAATATGACTACACATATATTAGAACAGCAAAACTTTAAAAGATTGACAATACTAAGTGCTGACTAGGATGTAGAACACTGGAAATCTCATTCACTATTGGTTGTAATGTAAAATGGTACAACCACTTTGGAAAATAGTTTCAGAATTTCTTTAAAAGTTAAACATATACCTCAGGTAAAAGAAGAGTGCTTGTATATTGATAGAAATTGTCTACTTCAGAAGCTATTTACAGGAGATTTGTAACTATTTATAGATGATTCTTCCTTGGTTGAAAGGTGCTAAAATTTATACCTACCAAATAATCCAGCCATTACACTCCTAAGTACTTCCAAGAGAAATGAGAGTATATGCCCACTTAAAGGTTTGTACACAGGTATTCATGGCCAAAAAGTAGAAACTGTCCAAATGTCCACTGACAGGTGAGTGGATAAACAATTAGTGGTATATCCATACGAAATAATACTACTCAACTATAAAAAGGACTGAACTATTGATAAGCACAACATAGATGAATCTCAAAATAATTATGCTGAGTAAAAGAAGTCAGGAAAAAAAAAAAAGAATACACACTGTATGATTCCATTATATAAAACTCTAGAAAATACAAACTAACATGTAGTGACAGAAAGCAGATGAGTGGTTGCCTGGGGAAGAGAAATGCTGGGGACAGGAGGAAGGGATGTCAGAGACACTGGAAACTTTTGAAGGTGATGGTTACATTCGTTATTGTGATTGTGGTGATGGTTTTACAGGTTACACATATGTCAAAATGTTAAATTGTTTAAACTTGTACAGTTTATTATATGTCAATGATACTTTGATGAACCTATTTTTAAAAACCATACAGAAGGTACTCCATAACTATTTTTGGAAAGAATAAAGTGGATAAAAAATGAAAATTAAAACTGTTTAAACTTGTACAGTTTATTATATGTCAATGATACTTTGATGAACCTATTTTTAAAAACTATACAGAAGGTACTCCATAACTATTTTTGGAAAGAATAAAGTGGATAAAAAATGAAAATTAAAATAGACATTTAGAAAAGCAGAATCCTAAGAACAGATGCTAATAATGCAAAATCCTAAGAATAAATTGAAGCAAACACCCATTACATCTTCCCTTATTCAATAGTATTCTTTTCTGAAAAAGAGAATATAGGTAGAGAAGGAGGAATAAGCTCTCACAAAGGAAAGTCCCTCAGTATGAAGTTGTAGGGCCTTTCAACGAAGAAACAACCACCTACAGATACCTTCTAAAATGGAAAATTGTTACTCCAATGTACAAACACAATTTTTTTGGCCACAGTTTACTAGTAGTTAGATAATTTTTTTGAATTCATCTTAAGAACCTGTCCAAATTTATCCTTTTTTATATCATCTTCACTTGCCTTTAATATAGTGAACCTTTTCCCACCAATTTAGTTTGCTACAAATTTTTAGGAACTAAGGGATGGCCATAGTGGGCATCCTCAGTGTGAGTCTTGGATAAAATGTCCCTTTCCTTGGACTCCTGTGTCCTTTGTCTCCCAATTTTCCACTGAGGTAGAAAAAAATCACCATCTCTACTTCATTCATCTCCTTTGCTCTTCTCTTTGACGTCCTGAATTCCACTCACTATCATCAATTTTAGAATCATCCTAATACACGGATACTCCCGCTTCTTGCATAAGCAGCTATGGTTAGGAGTTTCCTGCCACATACTCCTTCATGTTCAAAACATAGTTTTGAACAAAATAAAAGCACAGCACGCACTTATGTTTAGCCTCCATAACTCACCTCATTTCCACCAACTGCCTTGGTTAAAATCACTGCAGAAGACACAGGGGGAGGCATACAACCTACTGTCTGCAAACTGAAAAACAAAAGAAAATCCAATTATAAATAGGCTTTTGTTTTTTCAATTACAAATAGCTCTCACTACATTCATTTCAAGATAGCAGAGCTGGACAAATGAAAATAAAAAAAGTGTTTATTGATGTACATGCCCTGTTGAGTTTATACAATTCTATGTGACGCAACATGGCTAAGAATATGCTGTAAATGCATGGGTTTGATGCTCTCATTCTATTCCACAGACTTGGGTGATTTTATTTTTTTTTAAGTATTTAAACTCTTATTATACAATTCAAAAACAGTCAAGTTATAGTGAGTGCAGTCATTGAAAGACAGCCAAAATGGTTAATCATTTGGTAAGTGTTTATAATCTTAGATTATTTCAGGTAAAGTAAAAACCTTTTCATTATACTTTTTATAGGGACTCTCTTGGTAAAATTAAAGCTTTAAAACCACTTCCAAAATTTAAAAATATATAATAAAACAAAAGTTTACATTTTCAGATTTCTTTCTATAAAACAGCAGTTCTCAAACTTTTATCTCATAAAAGATATTTTCATGTTGTAATATCATTATAGAATCAGGCATGACACAGTCATATACTTCCTGCATTCAGACTTTGTAGTAAATTCTAGTATCTATTCTCAATTTGGATTTTATTAAATTATGTGCATACTCCCAAGATCTATTCTCTCAGTTTAGGATAGAAAATAAATTGCATGATAAGCAAATGAAACTATGAGCAGTAAATCTAATTAATAAAAATAAAAAACATTATTCAGAATTTATATAGAATATATATTCTGGGAAGAGTGAGTAGCTGGCCAGACTAAGTGAAAAGTTCATACAAAGCATAGAGGACACAGTATCTGACTTAAACAGATTTCGAATGGGTATAATTATCTGTGATTTTTATTTACTTTTGTAAGAATGAATTATCCAAACTTTATGCAATGAATTTGTATTAGTTCTGAAATAAAAAAATAAAAATGTTGAATTCATTTTGATTGAAACATAATAGAACACATTTTATGGAATTTCCAGCGCAATTCAATTCCATCTGGTCTTAAGGTCTATTCTCCTAAGTGAGGGTAAAGTAGTCTGTCCTATTATGAATTCCCAATCTCTGAGCCTTCCTTATGGTCTACCACCATCATCACGAATACTTGCTGAGCATTTGCCACTTGTAATAGATACTATTCCAGACACTTAACATATATCATCTTATTTATTTCTCACAAGTATTTATGATAAATACTATTATTATTCTCATTAGACTGAAAACTGAAGAGAAAAGTTAAGTAACTTGCCCAAACTCACAAAGCCAGTTATCCTGGGTTAAACAATCCAGGGTCAAAGAATTATCTAGGCTCCCTCTTCCAACCTCTCTGCCTTCTATCTCCCCTACTACCCATAGTAGGACAGGTCCTCTCAGGTAATTTTTTTTTTTTTATCTTCCTAGCTTTTTCAATCTTTCCCTCTCTTCTGACCCCTTCCCTTCCATGTACAAAGAAGCGGAATTCTCTCTATCTTTAAAAATCCCTAAACTGTATATTAATATATTCTTTCTCCATAGGATACCACAAGACATCATTCCTGCCTTCAAGGAGGCAGAATAGTCAACACACAAATGTAGATAACTAATTACAAAATCAGTACTGTTGCTTCCTCAAGATATAGTCCTACTTTTTTCCTTGTGACTCCCTGTTGACCTTCTTTAAAGAGTGTTCCACTTCCATGACCCCACAGCTCATTCTCTCCTTACTCCTTTGGAATGGGACTTCTGTCCCTTCTACTAATAAAAGTAGTAACCTTCAAGGTGCTAGTGATATCCAGACCACCAAATCCAGTATCCATTTCCCCGTATTCACTCTGCTTACATGCTTGCTTCTCAGGGCACTCTGTTTTCTTGGTTATCATCATACATCTGACTTCTTCGTATCCCCTTTTAAGATATGACTTCATCATATCTTTTTAACCAGCCCACTGTACTATTTTGCTGCCTCCCCTGCTTTCTTTTCAATCTTAGTTTCAATCTGTAGAAATACTTTCAAATTTACATTTCTAGCCCTAACTACTATTCCCAAATTTGTGGCTGCTTGTGACTGCCACCTCAAGCTAAATATGTCTAATATTGAATGTATATATTTTCTTTTTCTCTTGGCTTTACTGAGGTATGATTGCCAAATAAAAATTATATATAGTTACCATGTACATCATGATGTTTTGATATATATACACATTGTAAAGTGATTACCACAATCAAACTAATTAACATATCCATCTCCTCACACAGTTATCAATATTTTGTGATGAGAACACTGAAGTTCTATTCTCTTAGAAATTCCCAAATAAATAATACATTATTAACTATAGTCACCATGCTGTACAATAGATCTCCAGAGTGAATTTTTCTATTTTCTAAAAAATCAATTTCCCCTATGAATTTACCAGAGGAAACAGTTTTTACCTAATGACTCATTTTGAAACTTCGGAGTTATTTTTATGTGACTCCACTTGCTCCTCATAAATCCATCAGTCACCACAACCAAATTTCCATTCTTCTCTGTAACTACTGCCACCATCCCTGTTCAGATGCTTTTCACCCAAATCTGGGTGCTTGCAAATGCCTGCTGAATGCTCTCTCTAACCTCTGCTCTGTCCCTTCAACACAGCAAAATAAGGAGTATGTGCTCAGAATATCTTTATTTCAGTGGCTTAAACTTGATTCTGACATAGGAGCCTGCCACTCCCTCAAGTTAACGTATTGTGTACTCTCAAACTGGGAAAGGAAAGAAGAAGGTGAGCCAGGAAGAGCTTCAACACAGCAAAATAAGGAGTATGTGCTCAGAATATCTTTATTTCAGTGGCTTAAACTTGTTTCTGACATAGGAGCCTGCCACTCCCTCAAGTTAACGTATTGTGTACTCTCAAACTGGGAAAGGAAAGAAAGAAGAAGGTGAGCCAGGAAGAGATTTCGCTTAGGGAGTTAGGGCAAGCGTGTACTCCTGTAAGTTTAACTTTCTGAGGTGAGAGTTGCTTGCTTGTTCTATTTAGCATTTTGAAACTGCAAGTGCCACTCTTCTAATAACAAACCAAGTACAACACTATCAGATTATTGTTCCTTAATGATGACTTTTTGGCACGTTATTCTCTTGTTTTAGCACTTGTAGAGCTATCCATCATCTACAGCTTCAACTCAAACTCCTCAGCCTAGTAGTTCAGGCATTCTGTGGCTTGGCTTTAAAGAAATTTTTCATTGTCATCTTCCTCAAACGCCTCATTTTTTAATTCTCTATGTTAGGCAAACACAACCCTTGCTGAACCATTTATCCTTCAATTGATTACACCACTCATCTGACAAATCACATGCTACCCCACTTTGATGGACTACTATCTAATATGTATGTCCTACACATCCAACTAGATTGGAAGTTCCCTGAAGACAAGGAAAATGAGTATTCTTTCTATTCCTTGAGTGCCCTACACATGGCAGTTACTCAGTAACTATTGGCTCTTGATATGACATTTTTAAAAACACATATTATAGTCAGCCATTATCTGTATACATTTGGTAAGATACAGAATGCAAAGTTAAAGCATCCAATTGACAGCCTGCATTATACACATGCATACAGATCTGAAATCCTCTAGTCCTTTCCATTTTTCTCCCAGACTACTCTTTAAAACTCCCAGAAAAGTGTCCATCCTAGAACCTTAAGCATGAGGGTATATTTTAATATACAACTCTTTGATGAACCTCCTTGATGAAACACTGTTGTTAAACATGTTTTTATTTCCTTATACAATAGCACACGTAAGCCCTTTTGTATACAGTTGCAATAGAAACAATATGTCATTAGATACGCCCCATTAAAAGTGGACTCTTCAAAAGATAAACATACCCTTTTAAAAGCCATTCATTGATGGGTGTGATTGATAAAAGCTGAAGAAAAAGCCATATTGCTGCTGGGAAGAATGCAAGTGTAAAGATCTGAATAAAAAGATGCAGTTTTATATGCACCAAAGCACTGGTCAGCTCCTGAAAAAATGAAGGACACAAAATAAACAAAGGTAAGAAAACTATTTCTGAAAAGACACTGCTTCTAAAATAACATCATATGAGTTCGTTTTTAATTTTGAGTTATTGCATAATTACAATTTTTATCTATAAGCATATGCATGAGAAAGACTTTAAGAGAAAGAAAATTACTCATGATGATTATAAAGTATTTTTGTATGAAATTTCTAAAATATTCTAGTTTCTTTTGAATATACAATATACCCTAACAATTTAGATTTGTTAAATTCTGGACCAAAACTAAGCTAACTACCTTTACACTAGTATAGATTTGAGGATTGTTGGCACTATAAACAAACATGTACATTTACTTATATAAAAAAATTAATCTTTCAAAAAATTTTTTAGCAGGATCCATCACATTTTAATTAAATATAGTAATTAATCTCCATTACACCAAACCTATAAGGCCTCAACTTGGCAAGATGTTACTGAATCTACAAATAATTTTTTTTTTTTTTGTCTTTTTTTGTGACCGGCAACGGATCGCAACCCTCAGTGTCGCGCCCATACTGGACCGGGACCGGCAAAGGGATCGCAACCCTCGGTGTTGCCCCCGCTCCTCGCTCAGCCAGTGAGCAGCCGGTCTGTATGTGGGATCCGAACCCTCGGTGGGAGCGCTGCCGCGCTTCCCAAGCGGCGCACTGCAGCAGTGCGCCACCGGGCCGGCCCTGAATCTACAAATAATTTTTAAAAATATTTTCCTCAATGACAGTCTATAATTCAAAATGGCTCTTCCCCCCAAAATCTACTCACTAGACTTCTTTGTTAACATTTACTGAATACCAACTATATGAGCTTGTCACCTTACATACGTTATATACTTTAATCCTCACAACAACCACATTATGTAGATATTATTATCCCTATTATACAGATGAGGAAATTAAGGTTGAGAGCTACTGTACAGTGAAGATCAGAATTAAACCTATTCTGTCACGTTATCGAGCCCATGCCGTCTTCGCCTATTGTATTAGACTGGTGCCCAGGCAAGGGAAGAAAAGCACATTAAACATGACAAACCAGGCACGTGTTATGAGTCTCACAGCTAAAAAAGGATAGTTTACCTCTGAGGTTCAACTATTTATAAACTAACAAACATTTGCATTTGAATCTGGGTAATGTGATTATTCAGTTGAAATAAAACAAATTCAGAAAGTAGTAGGAAAAGTACCGTCCTTTGAAATAAGCAAATAAACATTAAAGCATATTCCAAGATGCCAGACATTCACTGGTTAGAAACAAAGAACTGTAAGGGGTCCCCTAGTTCAAGTAAGATGGTCAAGAAATCCTCAGCCTCAGAGATATTGGCCAAAGTTTATCAGTCTAATAAATAGTAAGTTAATGCTAACTCATTCAATGAATACCATATTCTGGGATCTATCTCATCAGCTCTCACTACCTATCTCCCCGTGTGAAGACACACAGCAGCTCCTGTTTAGTCACAAGACGTCCCTAATGACATCTAAGGAATTTCTGACAATCTAGGTCTAATTTAGGACCACTGGGAAACCCTGTGCCTACCAGAAGCCACATTATGTCCTTTGAAATAAGCAAGTAAGTCCTTGACTTAGACCTAAGAGAAAACAAGCCATCCTTACAGCTAATCAGAATTCTAAAAGTACCACCCTAGAGAAAACTTAAGCACCAGCAGTTCAGAGAATTCTCAAGTCTTGAAACCAAGTCTCATTTAAGTATACTCAGAAGCATTCAATAAATATTAAATATTAATAGTTTTTAATTCTTAAAAAATAAAATAATTAGCCAGAATGCATTAACTAAGGTAATTGCATATACTTCTAATAGGAATACAAAAAAAACCCTAACTTTTCTGAAAAGTAATCTGGGAATATACATCAAAGACTATAATACAATTCACATTCTTAGACCCCAAAATTTTATGTCTTAGCATTTCGCCTTAGGCTATAAAAAGTGGTTATAATCATTTATACACAGAATTGATTGACACAACATTATCAATTAGAGCAAAATCTGGAAACAACATAAATGTTCAAAAATGGGATAACAATTAAATGTTAAAGTATAACAAGAGTGTTATTAGCTATTAAAAACTGTATGGATAAGGGCGTGGAAACATAGGATCTCTCCCCTCCTTTACCAATGGGAGTGTAAATTGGCACAACCTGTGAGGAACAATCTGGCAACTCACTCCTTCATTCAAAAAATACTTACTGAGCACCTGGCACCATTCTAAGTATTTGGAATAACTATCACAACTTAAACTGCAATATCCATTGACCTAGCAATTCCACTTCTAGGAATTTATCCTTCACATATGTTCCAGAACATAGGAAATTACAAATTCTTAGGTTATACTTTGCAACATGTTTGTAATAGCAAAGCCTTGTAAATTACCTAAATGTCCATCAATAGCGGAAAATAAAATATATCACGACTCATCCATACAATAGAATACTATTTGGCATACAAAAAGAAACAGGGTTCTTTACATGTTAATATGAAACCATCTACAAGATAGGTATTTTAAGTAAAATAAGGTAAGGTGCCAAACAGTATAAAACACTACATTTTGTAAGGGAGTGGGATACACATGTGTATGTTTTGCATAGAATATCTTTGGAAAGATACAGAGAAACTGTTAACAATGGTTGTCTTCAGAGAAGAGAACCAGATATATGGTGGAGAGTGGAAGGAAGACTTCTCATCATATATAATTTTGTACCTTTTGACTCTGAACTTTGTAAACAAATCATACATTCATAATAGTAAGGAAAACGTAAATAATTTTATTTTAAAATATATAAAGGAAGAAAAATTAATATTACATGAAAAATTATACATGTTATGGAAAATATAGGATAAGATTGTATGTGTAAATGTCTGCAAGCGTGTGTATACATATACATACATACACCATTTTATTTTTTAAAATACTTTATTTTAAAAATATTCTATATATAAAACATGTTTTAAAAAAGAGATTATAAAACACGTGAATGTTAATAGCAGTTATTTTTACTTCTAATCTCTCTAAAATGAGTAAATATCACTTTTATAATCAGAAAAATGTTATGAAAACTAAAATGTAGTTAGAAAACACTAGCTGATCTAATAAATGACAATTAGAAAAAATTGACATTGTATCAGTGTAAAGCTAGGGCTAGAGCTCACAGACCCCTCGAGCCTGTTGTACAGACTGCATCACAAACCCTTCACACGCAGGTCTATGAGCTAGGTAATAGGAAAAGGTCCTGGGAGCTGTGGGTAAAAAATTAATAGGCTTTATTCAGAGCTAGGAGCAGCCGCCCTAGTGGCCTCCCGGAGCGTCCCAAGAAGCACCGTGTATCAGAGCCGTTAGTCCTTTATACTTAAGTCCATAACACAGGACACCTGGGTGCACATGCGCAATTACATTAGACAATAACCAAGGAACACCTGGGCGCACATGCATATTTACATCAAATGCTCAGCAAGATTCTGAACATCTGAGGGGCCCTGACCATTTTCCTGTATTTTCCCAACAATTAGAATAATTGTACAGTAAAGAACCCAGCAAATTGAGTCACAACAGCCTATCATTTCGGGCCATGAGAGGGCTCTTAACAACAGGGAGGTAACAGACATGAAGTGTTTCTAAGAAAGATTTTTAAGACTGTCACAAAAACCCAGTGTCATGTTTTCCATATCTTCTTCATATAACCAAAAGATAAAATAAGGTAATACTGGAAAAGAAAAAGCAAGTAAACCCCATAAAATCTAAAATAGTGTTATTCCATATATTTATATGTAGAATTTAGGATCACCTATTCAAATAAGTGCCATTATGAATAATTGAAAAGTTGACTCTGTGTGACATTTTGTTTATTCACATGTAATATAGGTCAAATTCCATTAAAATAACCTTAAGGAGATAATCCACATAATGTAGTGATTATACCAGAGTCTCACTGACAGAATCAAAAATTGCTTAAAACTAGGGCTTTGTCTAGGACATAGAAATATTTTCATTATATACCAATTTCCCTTCTAACCCTTATTTGACCTTTATCTGACTCACTTTCTGAGAATCAGCCTCATAGCTCTGGGCTTGAAATTAGCAGCATGGGCCTAAAATTTAGAATTTGCTATGGTTACTTTTCAGCTAATGGGATTAAAAACTAATAATCTGTTTAAGAAAATAAAGAAAAACCTGTATATTCTGCACTACTTGCAACCTTTTTTCAGGCCCTGAGCCTCCTGCTCATCTTTGTTTCTATACCCAGCACCAACCACTGTGCTCTGTAGCCATCGGCCCATAGTAGGTATTTCTTTAAATGAGTTGGCCCTGCCACAGTCTGTTAAGTGACAAATCCTCTGAAATTGTAGGTTTGAAGTTAGCTAAATACAAAATAGATTTTAAATGTGACCTTGTTTAATTTCAATACAATAAAATTTCAGAAACCATTTCAACAGGCAAAACTAGAAATCAACAGTTATAAAACTGAAGATTTAGCATTGCATTAGCACAGTGTCCTTTATAATTTTAACAAATTAGTAAAATAAATTTTAGGATACATATCATTAAGTCAGTTTATTAGTAATACTACATGAAATGTTCAATATAAATCAGACTTGAATGGGACCAACATAAATGCTTTCTTTCTTTCTTTCTTTCTTTTTTTTTTTTTTTTGACAGCTGGCTGGTTAGAGGATCTGAACCCTTGACCTTGGTGTTATAGCACTGCACTCTAACCAACTGCAACATAAATGCTTCCAAATAAACTCAAGTCAGTAACAATTTACCATCTCCCATGTGCAGAAATGCACTATTCTAGGACCTAGTAAGATATACAAATCTCAGTCTCAGCTGAAAGTAACATAGGATTATTAACTAAAAAATAAATAACAAGACTGCTACCTCCTAATTTACAAGTTAGGTTACCCAGGAAATTAGCAGAGCTTAGAGATGGTTTAATATTACACAATGATGCCATCTAGGACACCTTAAGTTAAATGACTTTTGAAAATGACTTAATGTTGCATTAGTTTGAAAAGGGTCTTTGATTGAGGAAATGGCTTTGATGGCTACTTAGATACCACTATAAAGCACAGAATCAAGGCATTTCATCATTAGATTTGAACTAGCTGGATGACTCTAAAGGTCTCCTGGGTGCTTATAGAAGAAGTTGGTCCTTAGAGAAATGCTGATAGCTGTGGCATTTTTCCTTCCTCAACTTCTGCATCCCCCAAAGTTAGCTGCTTTCCAGAATAACATTAAGTAACAAGCTAAGGAGTGAGGGAAATTAAGTCTTGCCAGATTTCCCATGGCATAAGTAACAGCTGTAAACATTAAGCTGCCACAGGGGATGTAGTTAGAGCAACGTCTCAAGGAGAGGACTTGAATAAGGCAGTTGCTCCACAAAGAGCATTAGCCAAGGCCAGCAGGAAGACCTCCAAGTAAGATCAGTCCGGCACCATGGTAGTGGCAAATATCTTTCTGTATCACTGTGCCCCACATTTGAGAACCAATATTAGAACTCGGGTGTTGACAGAAAAAACCTGTACCCTGTGAGACTAATTATGGTCTTCTTATATTAATACTGTTTACAAAAACTGGAATTTGACATATTTAGAAAATCTCTTCCCCTGTCAGTTATTTTCAGAACAGTAGGTAATCAGCAAGACTATTTAGAATTCTTGAGACAATTTGCCATTTGTAGACATTACATGCTGATCCTATATATATCAAAAAATACCCCCATGAAAAGATTTATGCCAACCTTATAACTTCAGAATACATAAATTTAGTAGAATGTTTTTCCATGTTGCTATGAGGGTGATCTAAGAAGGAAGTAATTAAATTTGGTCTTCATTCAAATTACATACAAAATAAAATAAAATAAATAAAGGTAAGACATTATGCTAAACCAGAATTTTTACTTTTAAAGCCATTTCCAAAAAAATCCTTCTTATGGTAAGACTTTTCCATCTACATAAGAATAAGCATGAATGATAACTTTACGTGATTTGTTCAAAAGCAAAAGGGTATTTTCTCCTCTTTTTTTCTTCCATTATAAACTCTACTCGGGCCAGCCCAGTGGCGCACTGCTACAGTGCGCCGCTTGGGAAGCAAAATCCTTCTTATGGTAAGACTTTTCCATCTACATAAGAATAAGCATGAATGATAACTTTATGTGATTTGTTCAAAAGCAAAAGGGTATTTTCTCCTCTTTTTTTTTTCCATTATAAACTCTACTCGGGCCAGCCCAGTGGTGCACTGCTACAGTGCGCCGCTTGGGAAGCGCAGTGGCGCTCCCGCCGAGGGTTCGGATCCCACATACAGACCGGTTCCTGCTCACTGGCTGAGTGAGGTGTGGGAGCAACACCAAGGGTTGCGATCCCGTTGCTGGTCCCGGTCCGGTACGGGCGCGACACTGAGGGTTGCGATCTGTTGCCAGTCACGAAAAAAGACAAAAAAAAAAACTCTACTCTTTTCTCTCTCAGATGTAAAAATGTCTGAATTTCTTCACTTCCAAAAGAATCCCATGTTCAGTGAAATCTGGATCAGTAAATAACATTACCAAAATGTATGCATGATAGATTGTGACTTGGTATGAAAATAACAACATTTCTCTTAAAACATCTATTAATATTTAATAGATATACTAGGAAAGAATATGTTTTTTAAAACTAAAAATTAGTTAAAGTTATGACATAATAAGCATTACTTAAGCAGCATGAGTCCTAGGAACAAAAAGTGATCCACAAAAGTTATGGAAACCAAATAAACATCAACAACTCAGATGTGCCCAGGCACGGCAGACACCATTGTAGTTACCACCATAACTTACGGAAGATCTGAAATAGATGCTTCAGTTCAGTTGCCATATTAAAACATACTCATTATAATGACATCCTCAGGGTCCATTCTGCTAAAGGATAAAGTTTCTATAATACGTAGGAACAAAATACAAGTCCTTTGCAGAAGTCTAAGTTATCTTCTGTTATAATGATGCCTTCAGAGTATAGCTATAAACAGCCTTACAAAAGGGCCGTGAATTTCAAAACAGTAAGTACAAATTAAATTTTTCTCCCAGCTTTTCATGTGCCCCATAAGTGACAGTACCTCTGTTTTTAATGATAGTCCACTGTTAAAGAATATTGTTGCAACAGCAATGTAGGATACAGTTATTTCTGGCTTCAGTGGTCCTAAAAAGAGAGAAATGAGCTACTGTTAGAAAAGAATTTCCAGTAGAAAACTTGGTATGAAAGAAGAATCTATCGGAGGAGAACAAATACTTCTCTAAATATTAGTGTTGCTCTAGTGTTCTCCTGTCCTAACAGAGTTAAGCATTCATTGTGATGCAGCCTAACTCCAGAGAGGATTTTCCAGAGGGCACGGACATTGGCTGTCCACCTCAGCACAGTATCCTCAGACCAGAATAATAAAAAAGTATGCACGAGCTAGCCTGTTAACTTAGCTGGTGAGAGCACAGTGCTAATAACACCAAGGTCCATGGTTTGATCCCTGTACCAGCCAACTGCCAGAAAAAAAAGTAAACAGGAGAGCAGGTAGGCAACATCCTTCAATATACCAGGGTTCTTCAAAAAGTTCATGGAAAAATAGAATTAAGATACTAAAAACCTTTCCACGAACTTTTTGAAGTACTCTAGTAGGTCCTAATCATATCTATCATGGTATCAGTTGTTATATAAAAATCAAAATACCCCCAAACCCAGAGAAGAGAATAAATGGAAGAGGTTCCTTTCTCTTTAGCAAATATCATTTTATTCCTTCTATGACACCAGAAATAAAAGCTTGTAAACACGCATGCATTCAATTCTGCCCAAGAGTATTCTTTCTACAAATATTTACTGAGCATTCATAACATGAATGAGATAATGCATATAGAGTACTTAGGGTATATTTCTATTATTGTTATTATATTAAATTGCGCTAGGCCCTGGGGTTACTGTGGTGAACCAGACAGGCCTAGTCCTTGCCCTCCAGAAAACCCTCTCTAGATTTAGGCTGGCATCACCACAAATGTGTTAACACTGTGAGAACAATAGGGGCATTCTTGATATTTAATGTACCATTTGTAACTTGTACTCAACTGGCCTGAAGACCTAATGTGTTAACAAAAGAACAAAATTATTTCAAAAGATAGAGTTCTGAGAAATGCCATTTTATACTGGTGTACCAGTGTTCTCCAGCAGGAGCAATTTTGCCCCACCCCACCACCGGACAATTGGCAATGTTTGGAAGCTTTCTTTGGCTATTGTACCTCAAGGGATAAGGTATGCTACTGGCATCTAGTGGGTAGACACCTGGAATTCTGCTAAACATCTGGAAGGCATAGGACGGCCCTCCAACAACAAACTATCATGTCCAAACTGTCAATAGGGCCAATGTTGAGAAACCCTTGTATATACCAACATTTTAAAATTGGAGATCATCTCATATTTGACATTCTATTCAATCCTCTTGTACTGGACTGAGTAGTGTCCATTTGAAATTCAAAATTCATGTCTACCCACAATATATGAATGTGACCTTATTTGGAAATAGGGTCTTTACGTAGGTAATCAAGTTAAGATGAGGTCTTATTGGATGAGGGTGGTCACTAATCCAATGACTGG